GTTGAAGTGGCTTTATTCCCACATGCAGCAGGTACATCTAGCTGTGCGAGTTCATGCATACAATTTTGAAGTTTACAGAACCCCTCTTCAGAGTTACCTTTGGCAACAGGAGAAAAAGTTCCAGCAGAAATTCCTTTGCACCAGTAAGTAGAAGGATAACTGTTCACATACATAGGTGTCAAGAAAAGCATAGCTCATTGTCGTGTCTATAAACATGCACCCTTTGATTTATTCATATTCCATTAACTGATACCATTCACATCTTTTCTTGCATCTTAGAAAGTATAATGTCTTGAGATACTATGAGTGACTGTATCCTACACAGAGTTCATGGGAATCATAGGTGGAAAGTACAGAGCACATTAAAATTATCGCTAGAAAAGAAGAGCAATGAAAATTTGCTGGCAAATGTAGGTCATTTATTTGTGCAAGCAAGTTTTCCAGTTCACTGCCTAACCTCCTGCCTTTTTACCTGAATAGGATTGTGTAGCAAGAACAAGATAAATATGTGGCACATAGACCGTGTTAATCTTATTTGGATACATTCCTCTAGAATGAAATTGAGATAAATAGCTAGGTAATAAGAAATGTACTGGACCACTAACACAATTAGACTAGTGTAAGTATACAGGATTAAATAAGTGGTATAAAAGGCCTCAAACTTGCTTAGAATTATTGCAAATATAGAGATGTATTATTTGTTAATTTTCATGCAGTCATGTCTTTTAATATTGCGTTCTAATGTACAAGCAAAAATGGGTCTTTTTTGTCACTATTGTTAAATAGTAGCAAATTGAGTTAATCTTCAAAGGATATTTCTTGCATGTGACAGTAAGGTAATACTTCAGTATCTAATTTTGCTATCAACTTCAGTCACAGAGATTTTTCCTATGGAGACTCTTACAAGCATATATTTTCAGGGAACAACTTTCCACAGGTGTATTGCAAAAATAGAGAGGTACCAAAAATTCCACAGGTTAGTGCTGAGTTTGCACTTTATTATGAAAAAATAAATGCCATCTTCTTCAAAATATGCACTGATGAAAGACTATGGCAATGAAAGTAGGTACAGCTCAACAGTGTGTGAATTGATCTATTCCTTCTGCTGGGTACCTTTTCTTCCCGAAGGCAATGCTCGAGGGCCTCTGATACCTGTTCAGGGAGCATGAAAGACAGCCCAAGAGAAACCTGTTCCTCAGTTGCCTACTAAAATGTGTGGTAGAGTTTGTGCACGAGTTAATGTTCACACCAAAACCTCCCAGCGTGTTCCTGCCTTTCTGAGTGCCATCATCTCAGTTTGTGAGACATTAATTCTGTCAGCCACTGAGCAATGTGACAGGAAGAGATGAGGTCTTGCTGTCCTGGCAGGGAAAGTGTTCTGTGACCTGTGTACCTTGTTAGAGACTGCAGGCCTTGCTGTATTTCTGACTCACTGACTACAGGCAACAACTAGCTGCAGCCTGAAGCATACAATGCTGACAGTTTTAAGTAAGTCAGATTTTTCAGAAAATCTATTTTGTGAGCAATGCGGCTCCCTGGTACTGTAAAACCTCCTTTTAAAAAGTGCCAGCAGATATGTATAAAAATGCTTGTGGTAAAAATAAATAAATAAATTATATATTTGGTAAGTTAATAATAAATAGGCGTAAAATAGAAAAAGAAGGGGAAAATCCTTCTTCATTATGTATATTTCTGGCTTAAGTTAGTGCTGGAAATCACATCTGACGTGTATACATGGCTTTAAGAGAGTTGTGCATTTTGCTGGAAAAACATTTAAGATACACAAATCTCAAGAGAAAATATTTTTTTGTATTTATTGTCTTGTATACCTTAAAATACAGCTTTCCCTAACACTGTACTATTTATAAATTCATATTTGTAAGTAATTTCAATATAGTTACTCTGAGAAAAATGATGAAATATGAAAAAATAACATTTTCATATGAAATAAAAGTAAACTCCTCAATTGCCTTTTAAGGTGCCAGTCTCACAGGCTGTATTTAGAATGTAAAATAATATTGAAATTACAAACATGACAGTGTCAGAGTTCATTTTTTTTTTTTTTTAAGACCTGCAATGTTGCCTGGAAAAGGCATTTGCTGCTTTCGTGTCGCACTTCACAGCCATTAATACTTGTGTTATACCCACGAATCTGTGTTGTAACGAAGTTGTCAGAAGGAACTCGCTATTCTCTTCACAAGGAACTTTTCTCAGAAATCTGTGGCAATTCCAGAAAAAAAAAGTAATTGCAGTATGAATCTGCAAATCTGTAGGTACACTTTGTATATTGAGAATATTTTGTGTGACAAACGTGATATCTGCATGTGCCATGAAACCTTTCCTTAGATCAGCTCTAAAGCTGGGACTATTCAATTGTCCTACAGTCTGTAAACAAGATGACTGAGGGTCAAAAACTAAAGACACAAAAACTGACTCAATAAGAGAGGGTTTTAATGGTGATTCAGGTATAAATTTTGAAGCATAATTATTTCCTCTGTGGTTAAGTTAGTTAGGGTTCACACTAATAGCTTAGGCTATGATCAGGGCAGTAGAAATCTAGATGTATGTTCCTTTCTGACATTGCTGCTGTTGGAACAGCATCCCCTGGAACAGAGACACTGCAGATACCTGAGGATTTACATCCCCATACAATATTTGTCAGGGAACATTTGTCAGAGCCTGAAGAGGTTACAGCTGCATAGGGCAGGGTGGAAAATTTTGAAAAACCAAGTACTGATGAGGAAAGAGGACAGAAATCTTTATCTGCCTAGGGCAGCCAAAAACCTTGCATCAACTCTGCTCTGTTTTAATACAGATTTTATTCAGGTTTTGTTTAGTTTTCCCAGGGAATATTGTGACGTACGTTTATGTTGCATTATTCTTTGTGTTACTATTGGCTCACCTAATTCATTTTGGGGAAAGGCATTCTTAGCAGAAAACATTTTTCTTTTCAAAATGCAAAGCGCATTAACCTAATAAAATACCCTCTGGAGGAGTCTTGAACCAAAAAGCCACATTGTTTCATGCACTGGCCCCTAGCAGTTCCAAGGTAGTGTTTAGAAAAGGTCATTGCTGCTAAAGTACATACCAGAGGAAGTGAAGGAAAAATGTTATAAACAAATAAATACATTAAAATTATTTGCTTTCAAAGCAGACTATGTGAAAGCTACATATCTGAAGATTTGTCAGCATTCACTGTGTCATTAAGGGTCATGGTTTGTGATGGGACTCAGCAGGTCAGGTTAACAGTTGAACTTGATGATCTTGAAGCCTGAATGAAGCTATGGCTCTGTAATTTACCGTGAAAGTTCGACAAAAGATATATATGAGTTTTCTTTCCTAAAAGAGCTGCATATGTTTGTCTGTAACTTGCTGAGCCATAAAGGCTATAATACAAAATAGTGCAAGTTCAGTGCAGAGATGATAATGTGAAATATCAAGAAGCTGTAGTCACACAGTACCACCTAATGAGTAAAAACAGACTTTTGTCACTGTGCTGCAGTTCAACCGGTTTGTTCTAGCCCCAGAGTTGTTATTCAAGATACAAATCAGGTTGTGTCTGGAACATACTGTGTCAAAGAGTGATGAGTGAAGATTAGGTTACCTCCAAAAATGCCAGTGAAACTTCAGAGCTTTATATTTCTCATTACAAAGTCATTAGAAGTCTTACTTAAAGCAGTCTTTCTGCTTCAGTTTTGGAGTAAGCTCTTCTCTTCCCTCGAGAAGCTAGTAAAGAAGCAATATTGCTAACTTTTCATAATCAGATATGAACTGTCTTCCTGATATTTTCTTGTCATGTCTCAGAGAGAGGTAACCGCTCTCTAAGGAGCCAAAGCTGACCCCAGTGCACTCCCTGCTTTCATCACCAGGCACCATCTCACAGGATCAGACCATGGTGGGGGGAGCTGGGAGCTGTAGCAGGTCCACTGTCAGGTCCTGACAGGAGAAGTGATGAACTATCAACAGGGTTCATCCGGGGTCTTCTGGCAAAAGCTAAAGGAGAAGAGGCAGGATGCAAGTCCAGAGATCCACAAAGTGGGTCCAAAAATCATCTCAGGGGCAGGGCCAGAGGGAGGACTGGAAACAACTTACAACATGTGACCATAGGTAGCTGGTCTATGCAGGAGACCAGCTACACTCAGTGTAGGTCCACGTGCAGCCAGGAGGCAGAGCCAGAGCTAGAAATGGAAGATTGGCATTACACCCACATAGCCCAGGCTAAAGAGAAATGAGGTTCCTGTGCCCATGGGCAATGCTGGGGGGAGGCCCCAAATGAAGCTGATAAGGGCAATTTAGACCTATATAGGGGTGCCCTCAGGGTTCTGACATTTCCAACGAAAACGTTTTTTAATTACCCTTCCCTTCATTCCTAGTTTAGTACTGACCACTCTTTGTTTAGTACTGCAAACTGGTTGTGCACAGAGCAGTAAGTGATTCTGCTGAGCAAAACTGGGTGAGAAAAATAAAAAAAGAGCCTTGAAATCCCTTCCTCAAGAGGAGGACATGTTAAGACAAGATCTGCTTGGGTAGTTGCCTACAACTATATTGTTTAACTTCTCTGTTTCAGAAAAGCACAGAAATAGAGAGACAAACGTTTTACCAATGAGACAAGCTTGTTCCCTTAGTTCACAGCCATTAAACAATTTCAGACTACCTGGAAACACAGTATGGAAAACACCATTTAGGCTGTACTCTGGATAAAACTTTTAATTGTTCTTCAAGATCACTTTTTCACTAACGTACCATAAGCTACTGGGTTCAGATGTATTTAAAAAACATGCCTACCCCATTCCTCCTCCTCCCATTTTCAGTGATTTCATTATAACCCTACCCTTTGGTAGAGTTCATGCAATATGCCTCACCAGCTGTTTCTTCTGTGAAAGCAGAAGTGGATTACTTTTAATTTCCACACTTCTCCTTTCACTGAGCCACTACTTACATTTGGCTTTTGTCAGCATATAGGTGTTGAGGCTAGACTCCTCTCTGGAAAATTTGCTGTCTCCATTCTGACTGATAACTGTAGAAGTAAACGTCCTCAGTGAATGTCCCCTATTTTGAATTAAATTGTGAGACAAGGACATGTAAGTGTCCTGTGTTACCAGACTTCCATCTCCCTGCTGCTAATTGCAGAACTACAGGGAATGCTAGAGGGTTTGACAGTGGACAGGGGCTATCTGCAGCCTCTACTCACTGTCATTTTTTCAGGGACTCTGTGCAAGTGATTGGCGCGTTCACTTGGAGAGCTGTCATCTCTCATAATCCACTGGCACAGATATCTCAAGAATAGCTACTGAAACATCTATCCTGCATTTTTTTGTGAGCGATGTCACCCTCTAATTTAACAAATGTATTTCCAGTTATTTTAATAGCACTCTTTATTTCTAACATGATAAAGCAGACTCTTTCATATTTCTGTATGGATTGAATGTTACCTGGGCGAGATTGCAAATATATTTGAGGTTTTGCTGCCATCTGCAGTTGAAATCTAATATTAATCCCAGTTTACTAGTGACCCTTGCTTCCCAGTGTCTCAAGACTTTTGTATCTCAGGCGAGCAACAAGAGAAGCTTTAACAAATATCATTGCATCCTGAACTACCGAGTGCTTGTTCTAGCAGAAGGGAGGGTAAAAGGTTACATAACATTATATAACTTCTTCTGTCTGTACAGTGCACCTCGATGGTCTCTTCAGATGTCTTTTTGGACAAATTATTCTCCTTCCAGTATCTAAGGATTCATAATACAAACTCCCATTTTAACTTGGATCCTCTAACGTTTCAGAAGCTTTCCAGTTGTAACACAGAGCTTGAGTAGTTAGGGATTGAAAGCTGTACATCTCCATTTTCTAAACTGGATCACCTATTTGTTTCATCCCTAAAACAAAATAAGAGGAAAGTCAGTGATGTAACACAGGTCTTCCAGTACTACTGCACTGAGTTTTCTCATTGAGATATGCAATGTATCCTAGTACACAACAGCAAAGCTTTCATGCTGGCATAGAGCAGAATAAGGAAAGATTTCTCTAAGTAAATTTAATAAGATTTACCTCTTCAGTACTATAATCATTCTAGCCACCAGAATATCTAGAAAAATACAGGTGCATCAAAGGACATTTGGGATAATTAAAAAGATTTCTAAATATTTCTCTATATTTTTAACACTGTGCAGATAAGGTATACAAAAAAGTAAAAGAAATTCATAATGTAGTTCTTCATACTTCCTGCAAATAAATGTAGAAATAAGTAAGTAAATATGTAAAAGAATGAGAGGAATACAAGGGAAGTGAGTGGATATAGTTAAGTTCGTGTCATTGACATATTCCAGGCATAGTATATGCCTAGAAAGTAATGTCTCCAATTTTATTAAATTGGCCTATGACATAAGAGGCAGAGGTTGGTGGTATGGCAGTAGAGGTTGAATTTTCCCATTCTTTTAAATTTTGTTACCATACAACACATGGCAGCAAAAGAACCATCTGACAAAACAGTATTTGACATGGAAGAGTGTATGAAGCAGAGGTATGTAATTGAATTCCTCTATGAGGATAAGATTGCACTCATTGACATTCATCAATGCTTGCTGAATGATCATGGAGACCTAACAATGGATGTGAACACACTGAGTTGAATGGTGCTTTTCACCAGTGGCAATGGTGACATGAAAGGCAAACCACATTCTAAACAGCCATACACAAACATCACATCATGAAATGAAGAATATCATATATCATATTTTGATCAGCTCATCCATGTGATTTAGTGGACTATGTCCAGAGAACTCTGTACAGAACTGAATATCAACTTCAATGCCTTGGAAACCATGGTGTCAATTTTGGAATTTCACAGAGCTTGCTACAGGTGGGTCCCACAACTGCTCACATGCGAACAGAAAGAGCACCATGTCTGAGTTTGTCAGGACATATTGAACAAATATGTTGCTGAAGATGACAGCTTCCTGGATTGTATCATTACTGGTGACAAGATTTTGTGTCGCCACTATGAGCTAGAGTCAAAATGGAAGTCCATGGAATAACAACAAGTGAATTCCCCACAGAAGAAATATGCAGCCCTCTGTGCATAAAGTATGTAAGAGATTATTCTTTTACATCATTGTCTCAAAGCTTTCTGGGGACACAGATGAACAAGTCCAAGGCAAGGATTAAGAAATCCTTTGTCTGGAGAACACTTATGGACAAGTCCTGGGCAAGGGTTGTGAACTGAGGGACACAGATGGACAAGGCCAGGGGCGATGAGGGAGATAAGCTGCAGCTTAATGGCTGTGAAGCAGTCTTTTGAGTAGGCTTATCTCGAGGAAGATGGCCATCTCAGGAGGTGCTGCACATGACTCTTATCCAAGCACCCAAGAATGCCACGTTGGCAGGAGGATAAATGAGGAATCGAAAACCATGAGGTTTAGTTTTTCTGGCAACAGATTCCTCATGAAGAAGAAAAGGTTTCTGAAATGAGAAGCCTCATGATCACTTGCTGTGTGCTCTACCATGATGCTGAAGAAGATCAAAGGTATCTGCCATCAAATTCCTCACAATGGAATTCCTGCATGTTAACAGACCCCCCTGGGCCTGCTACTTCCTTCCGGATTGGCTCTGCAGCCTCTTCCTACTACCTGCTTGCTGCCCAAGGCCAGACACACTGCTGCTTCCCCACTCTGCTCTTTGCCTCAGCCCTTCAAAATGTCATGCAATAGGACTGCTGTTGGATCCTGGTGGTGACTATCCCCACTTTATGCAATTCTTGCCTCTTTCCTATCTTTTCTATTTCCCTCCTTCCTTTCCCAGTCTCCCTGACTAGGATTTATAATAAACTGGTTGGGTCAACATTTGAACCATTTTTTTTTTAATCTCACACGCCGGGCATACAGATATTAAAAAGAGCCTCCTCTCCCTCCTATAAATTGGAGTGAGACAAAGTGACATGCACTCTTTTTTTGGGATAGGAAATACATGATCCTTTTAGATTTCCTGCAGCCTAGAAAGCCTCTGATTGCTGCGTCATAACATTGAGTAAACTGAAGCCTCCAACTTCCCGAGTCAGGCCAGAGAGGAGGACAACTTTTCTCCTGCAACACAAGCCCCATACTGTTATGAAGACAGTGAAGCACATTGTCAGTCTTGGCTGCACTGTCTTAACACATCCACCACATAATCTGGTTTTGGTATGTTCTGACTTTCATTTATGTGGATCAAGAAGAAACGGACTCTGTTGGCAATATTTTCCCAGCAATTACAACATCACAACAGCTGTGAAACAGTGGGTCACCACCTCAGGTGGTGCAGATTTTTATACAGAATTTTATTGCTGGTGAAAGTGCTCAGTCTGTGGTGGTGACTATGTTGAAAAACACTATTTTATAGCTGAGATTTTGTAGTAGTGTATTTGTGTTATTGTGATCTTTGTATCTCTTGTAGTTTCCATGGAAATGAACAGGAAGAATTACTTCTAGGGCAACCTATATAGTTACATATTTCTTCTCAAATAGATGTAGTTGAACAGTTTTAGGTACTTTGATAAAAAACTAGATCTGACCATCAGCATAAAACAGCAAAATATTAATTTCTATTAGATTTGAAGACTCTCATGCTCCCAAAAAGTAATTATATCCCATTACACAGGTATTGGCTCTAGCCTTTCTAACACAGCACAGTTACAACTCAAAATCTCTGTACTTGAAAAGATCTGCTATACAAATCTTTGAATATCAGATCTTTGCAAACCATAGCAAAATGAACAAATATTGGAAGTCCGATCCTTCTAGACTGTAAATCATCTTTTTTCTTCTGAAGCAAATGGAGCAACAGCACTGATTTGCAGAAATAGAGGATCCAGCCCTGGATTTTAAGTATTTCATGAGCTCTTCACTCAAACTGAGAACCATACATGACTGAAGTAATAGTTCTCTTACTGCATACAATAATTTGTGCTCTTTAGCCCAATTAGAGTACTTAAAGAATCAACAAGTATAATAAAAGTACAACTTAATAGTGATAGAATTTAATAGTGATCAGATTAAGTGTATTCAGAGTAATCATTGAGTGAACTACCAGCTTCTTTTTGCAATCACAGAAAATCAGTGTCTTAATTTCTGACAAATGGTGATTGTTTCTTATGCATACAGTGCACAGATTAAATGAGAGCAACTGGATTTCGACAGTTTGTGTTTTTCCAAAGGATGCTTAACACAGCAATCTTGAAGTTCACATAACAAGAAATGGTTTCCATGCTGAGTTCAAGGTCAGAAACTGTATCCCTTATCAATCCAGTTTCAGTGAACGGTCTGTATGGTCTAGAATTTGCCAGAAGGCATGCCAGGGAATCTGGGAATATTTCTATTCATTAGGAAGCTGGATATAATTGTGTTAATATTTGTTTTCTCCCTCACTGTTCATGGGAAGACTGTATAGTCCTCCGATGTACAGAACTATCTGTTCTTCAGCATCAGTGAATCATGGAGATCTCTTTTTAGCTATGCTGTGAGACCTTGAGTAAGTCGCTTACTTTTATTATAGTATTAAATATTAGGTCTTCACACTAAGGTCAATAATACCTGGCTGACAATTATATTACGAGGCTTAATTGATTAAAATGTTCTGAAACTTTTGACTTCAAGTCATTTAAAAGCTCTTATTATGTATTACGTGATTTGACTAATGATTAGTAAATTCATGATTAGTACATTCAGAATTCATAAAAATTAGCTATAAAGTTATCTTCTATAAAATTATGCTAGTATATTTTTTTTTACTATAATGCATTCAAATTTTATCTTGAAAGATGATAGAGCAAACCATTTTTTCCAGATTACTTTAGTAAACAGTATAGCCAAAAGATATTCTCACAAACTTAAATTTACTTATTTCCTAAATTCTTAGTATATTTAATAATATCCTGAACAGCCTATCAATAGATAAAAGACTACAAGGAAGTACATTATGTTCTGTGTAACAATTCTTAGTGAGCAAAGCAAACCTTATTTTGAATTACAAATTTTCTGTGATCAGAAAGTACTAATTTGTGACTTAGTTCAATTTCTTACATCTACCATAGACCTAGCATAGGTAATCTGAAAACTCAGCTTCATTTAGATCTGAGGTTTTGGTCATGTTTTTAATTTTTCTTTGGAGCAAAATTTTCTCCTGAAGGAAAAAAATTTTCTCTCATATAGAAAAAAATACTCAGAGGAATCCTTCTGACCAAGAAAATAACATCAACTAACAAGTCATCAAGCTAAAATGCATTAGAGTGTGCTGTGGGCTGGAGTGCTAGAGGGAAAGGTGCAAGAGCAGACTAAAACTAAAGCCTCCCAAAATATGTCTGCCACCACTTACATCTTAGGATAGAGAGTCTATGTTGCCACAGGATTTGCTTTTCAAGGCCCAGGATAGTACTTCGGGCTGTGGGACACGAGACATGTCTGGTGGTTGCTTTCACCATCGTAACCACATAGCATAGACACGATGAGTTTGTATGAGTGTGATATAATCCACCTTCCAGGCTTCCCTGTAACTACATTTCAGTCATTTCCCTCCACACCAAACTCCAGGGTTAGCAGAATTCTGTATTGCCAGTTGAAATCATTAATCTTTGCAAGAGAAAGGTGACAGGACTTTTCCAAAACTGACACTGATTTTATACTTGTGCCTCCTCCTGGAGTCTGAGGCTGGCCTAGATGCATGCTCTCCCTGAGCTTCTGCTTCATTCCATTTGCTTTCCTTTCAGGAAGCTGTCAATAAAGACTGCCAGAGAAATCAAAAACTCTCCTTTACTTATGATTGACAGTGGTTGTACGTGAGAAGAGAAATAAGGAATAAAAGATTAGGTCATTTGAGAAGGATGGGTTGCCTTCCACCACTAAACTCTGTAAGTACATGAAAGTGGAAAGGAGGGAGGAGAGGAAGAAAGTAAAAATCCTGAAGTGTCATCTAACTTGCAGATTAGAAAGGAGAAATAGTGGCAATTATGGTAAAAATGATAACAGTAACATGCTGTGTGGTGTTGTCTTTACAGGATCATGCTCTACAAAATGCCCTTGTTACTCCGCTCCAGTTTCTCCAGTCTCTGAAATCCATCCATTACTTACACATCTCCCTGACAGAAACTCCCTCTGCAATTCCTGCACTGTGAAGTGCAGCAACATCTCATTCTGTTATAGCCACCTGCAGCCCTGTGCCACCAGCAGTTCCTTGCCACCTTGTCAGTTGGCAGAGTTCTCAGCATTGGCCCAGACATTTCCTAGCAGCCCTGCTAGCTTTTAGGGCCTCTGAGAGGTTTGGACTTTAATGTCTGCTCATTTACATTTTCTGCTTCCTGGACTGGGTGTGTGAATGCAGTCAAAAATCTATAGTGAGCCCAGCAGTACACGGCATACCCTGAGTGAAGAAAGAGCTCTCCTGATTTCTCTGGATGAAGAATTCACTCAATTGTAGCATGATGTTGGGTTTCATTGTAATGTAATTCCATTTTAGGAGCTCTGTTATGAATAAACTAATAACCTTGCAGCTGCCATTTTGAGTCTCCCTACTTTTGATTATAGCTCAGGGCTAATTGCAGAGGGTAAATGGGGCAGAGCCAGAAGAGGGAAAAGCTTTAAAAGCTGAACAGCTGGCAGTTGCTGAGGCAATAAAGCAATAGAAGGAAGTAAATAAGGATGTCTAGAAGAAACTCATTCTTGCTGAAGATTTCAGCAAGATAGGTTTTCTAGAGGGTATATTTATCTGTATGGTTATCACTTGGTTTTATGGAAATTTGCACACTCTTTGAGAGCTGTGCATTGACACAAAGATGGAGACATGGCAACTGAAGGTATTTGGATGTATTTTACATTTGACAATAGTTCCAGAACCTGCTGGATATAAAGAAGGATCAGAGATAAACTATGTGAGAGTGATGAAACCTAAACTGTGAAGAGCTAATTAACACGAGCTAATTAAAGAGAGTTGGCCAAGGATTGCTCTACCTGACCCACTTTGAAAGAAAAGTAAATAAGGAAAATAAGGGATTATTGAATCAAAGAATTATTTGGGTCAGAAGGGACCTTGAAAACCATCTGGTTCCAGTCCCTGTGATACGGGTAGGAACTCTTTCTACTAGACCAGTTTGCTCACAGCACCATCCAGCCTGGACTTGAACATTTCCAGGGGTGAGACATCCACAGCAACAACCCTGGACAACCCATTTCTGTGCTTCAGCACCCTCATAGTAAATAATGTCTTCATAATATCCAAATTAACTTATAATTTATACAGTTGTTCTAACCCTGACAAGGAGTTTCCCCTCATCCTTCTTAAGAGTCTCTTCTCCTTTAAGTACTGAAAGACCACAATAAGCTCTCTTCAGAGCCTTCTCTTCTCCAGGCCAAATAACTCCAATTCTTTCAGCCTGCCTCTGTAGGATTATTTCCCTAGCCCTCTGATAATCACTGTGACCTCACACGGACATGATCCAAGATGCACATTCTTACACTGAGAGCCCTAGAGCTGAACACAGTGCAGCAAATGTTCATGAGAATAGAGCAGAGGGGAACAATCATCTCCATCAGCCAGATATCATGCTTCTTTTGATGCAGCCCATGATATGGTTGGCTTTCTGGGCTGCAAACATACATTGATTGCTCGTGTTCAGTTTTTTGTCCACAAATACAGACAAATATTTTTCTGCAGAGCTGCTCTCAGTCCACTCATTGCCCAGCCCTTATTGATACATGGGGTATATAGTAGTACACTGAAGTAGAAAAGGGCTAGCAATTAGAAGTAGTGTTACTATGACAATAAAACAAAGAGAAGAGTGTACCTTCAATCAAGTAATGCAGTTAAATATACTAATGCAGTTAGAACCCATTTAAATGAGGCTGAAATCAAAGCTTCTGATGAAAACCTTTGGAAACATAAGCTTATCTGGTGAACTTGATTTAAGAAACTTAGATGCAATCCTAAGATAATGAAAAATAGCACATATGCTACTAAACAAAGTAATGTGATCCAGATAGCTACAGACCTGTTTAACTGTCAAAATATGTAAGCCCTCATAACCAATCAGGATTTGAAAGAGTGGAGAGCTTATTTTCTTGAAATAATTTAATTTGTTTAGTTTAAGTATAAGATTGGAAAGAAAATTGTTCAGATATTAAAGTACATTAAGGTAGTAAACATAGGGATAGAGGATATGTTTAAGTTACAGGATATGATGATAGCTCAAGAACAACTTAGTATAAAGTTAGTAAATGCTGAAAGAACAATCACAGCATTAAAATTCTGTGATAGCTCACCAGAAGGATTAATGGGACTTAGAAGCTGTATAGGATTTGGCTGGTACTTGATCAGCTGCCAAAATAACTTGCGCCTATGGAGACAGCAGAGGTCAAAAATTGATGACTTCGAAACATAAGACTGAGAAGGACATTACATTTCTAGGAATATGAAGAGAATAGTTTTCTTAATAAAAAAAAAAAGACAAAGCCTACATAAATCACTCTCATTCTTAAAACACAAACAAGAACCCCCACATTAATATTAAAGGTATATTATTTCTCCAAGGGAGCTAGGACATCTCACGACACCAAAGGAGGTAAAAAGTATTTATCATCAGGAAAGTGCAGACTCAGGAAATCTCTGAATCAGAGTCTGCACAACTGCATGGCCTTCTACTCTGAGGATTTGCATGGTAAATGGTTATATTGTTTTGGCCTAAGGGAAAGATACCGTCAGGTGAAAAATTGCTCGGGTTGCTGGTTTTGACAGAAGACAGACTCTCTGCAGGAATCCTTTTATCTGAAGGACAGACTGAATCCAAAATAGATGCAGTTTTAATAGTTGAATCATCCATGTCCACTTAAAGCCATTACTAAGATCACATCCTACTAATGAGGCAGGGAGGTCTTTTGTGTGTTTCCTCATACGATGGAAAGAAATGAACATTTGGTTCACTCTTGCACCTCCCGTAACACATGACTCACAGAGTTGCAGCTTTAGGATTCTCATTTGAGTACATTCCCATGCATCTTAGAATTTAGTGGGTTTCTAGTAAAACAACAAACAAGTCAGCATTTGACTTGTTTTCATTAAGTCTGTGCACCTATCAGAAATTATTCTAAACATTTGCAGCAATGAAAGTTTCCCTAAACTTCACCAAAATGCTCTGCAGTACCCATGATCTTATATATATAGTTGAAGTAAAATCTCAGCTCTGCTTCTGAACTCAGAAAGAACTCATATCTTTGTAGAAAACAAACTAAACGTGTATCTCAGCTGACAAAGAAGTAAGTATGAAATAAGTACACTGTTTTAAAGGCTGCAGTCTCATGAGCAGAAACCAAAACTCTTGTTTTATGGAAGGCAAATAATAATTTACCAAATTAAATAATAATAAATAAAATAATAATGTACAAAAGCTCTGCCTAGGAGTTTGCAGCTACTGCTGTGAAATCCTCCCCCCTTTTTTTTTTTAAATACTTCATATGTTTTATTTGGAACCATTTTTAAAAGAAGCACAGAAAATAAACATGTGCAAAGCGTTAATTCGGCAATAATGTTTGAAGTATCATCTGAATAAAACACTGTAGTACCAAACTTTGGTAAGGGATGTGGTAATGTATTTAACAGGATTAAATAATATTTTTTTCCTTTCCAAATAAATTATAAATGTCACAGTTCCGCACAGATGAAAAGATTGAATTAATTAGCCTGTCACCTGAGAGCTTTCGCCCTTTCTACAAGGGAATGAAGTGATTTGAAAGAGTGCTGGAAAGGGCCCTCGTTCCACTTGACCTTTCCAGAGATGTGGCAGACAGATCGATGGGGAAGTAACTGCAACAGGCTGACACCTTGTAGAGAAGGTATGCTTCAGGAATCAAGAGTGCCTAAATAAGTTATAAAAACTACTGCCTTGTTTTATGAAGAGGTCTTCTGTTATCTTGGTTAATGCTGAGTTAACTTCCAATCACTTTGCTGTTTTTTTTTTCCTCCCTATTTATTTGGTTGTATTTAATTATCTGCATCATTGCTAGAATAAAATTATTTGATCTGAAGCATCAGTGGTGCAAATTGTAGTTGGGATTGTAGTAAGAATAGTAAGATATTGTAAGAATTGAGGTCTACTAGCTCTTCCAATCTGGATAGTTTTGTGCTGCTATGAAGTCCAGGCTCTCTATAGGATAATGATAGAGCAGTTTTTTCCAGTAAGCTTTGATCCATTGTTTCCTTGTTGACAGAGAAATAGAGAAGAATACAGAGAAGGCAAGCTGTTGCAGTCACCAGCTTGTGTGCTGGATCTCTATTTAGAAGATGAATTCCATTGACTAAATCCTGCTTTGGGTAGTGAGGGAAGAATTTAAGAACCTTCCCTGTCTACCCATTTTCCATCAACCAAATGTATGTATGTCTGTAATCTTTTGCTTATAACCAGTAAGCTCTGGATAGTTCACTAACAAAGAAAAGCAGCATTTATTGCTGTATGGGCAAGCTAAGTAGCAATGTTGATGTTAGCAGCCAATCCAGGTATATTTCTCCTAATCGCTCTCAAAACAGACATAAATGCCACAAATTACTCAATAAGGAACCTATGAGATGTTTCTTGGATTGTTGTGCAACAGTGGAAATAAGTAAACTGTGACCACTTTGCTAAAATATAGTTTTCCAAAAGCTCAGAAGCATGTACTTGCTTACCCCATTGTGGGTACTGTTAAATCACTCAGTGCTGCTTTGGAGCTAAGTGGCAGTACAAACATGATTTACATATCTATGTCTATAACTGCAAATAAAATGATGCCTGGAACTTGAGTACACTGACACTTTTTTTTTTTTTTTTTTTAACATAGTCCACGGTTCCTTAGGTAGATCAAAACATGCTCTTCTAGCATAAGCCAAGGCTGATCACAACATGGAGTCTGAATGCAGCACAACTATTCTGCAGGGAAAGAGCTTTAGTGATATGGATGTAGATTTTCAATAGCAATTGCTAGAAGGGTCAGAGAAAAACCTCTAGAACAGTTCAGTTATTTTGTTTTTTTGTTTGTTTGTTTTGTCTGTGTGTGTTGGGTTAGCCAACATCTTTGGTCACAATAGAAAACCCAAGAGAAGCTGAAGCTGACTGCAATAACTCAGCTGTTTCCTAATGTGTATAATAGCAAGGTCAGTTGTCTGTAAGATGATGCTTAGTCTCCAGGCCTTGCTTTGATGACTTTTCAGTCCTAAAATTAAATGTTTGGTGAAGATTAATAGAATAAATTCTGCCTCTGTACAAACTACAAATGTAGCTCACAGCTAATGCTGAGCCATGTGCTTTTGTACGCCTTTGTCTAAATTCATCTGAATTTCCTTTTATTAAACATTCACATAACTTAAACAAGGAATAATAGGCTGTGAATTTACACCCATACCCCCTACAGTAGTGATCAGCTACTTTTGTGTAAGGTGAGAAACAAGGATTTATAATTTTTTTCACATTTGTGGATCTAACTCTGACAAATTACCTTGAGGGTGCAAGATGAAAGATGAGGCTGAAGTGGCTGGATGCTGAGTCCAAAATTATACTCATCAGTTTAAAAGTTCAGTATTCAGTGATTTGATTTAGGACAGGAAACTAGATACAGACAGCCTGCAGACTGACTCGTGGGTTATTTGTATAAACAAGTACATTGTGAATGCCATTTGTTACAAGCAAGCTCCACTTCTCATGCGACACTGCTAGGAGTTTGAAGTCTCATCTGCTGAGAAATTATGGTTTATAGCTGCTCATTTTCCAGATATCAACTGCTCTGAGGCAAAGAGTGAACATATTCAGAATAATACAAATACCAAAAGAAAAAGTGTGCCTGGCCTTGCTCCCTTTGTGTACCCTCCTGCAGCAATTAATGTACAGATCTGCAGCAGTATATTGCTGTTTTTCATCTCTCCTGTTGTCTTCTTTACCTCACAAAACCTATACACTTGAAAGTAGCTGAATAAATCTTGTAGGTGCTGTTGTTCAGGAGATGTCCAGCTACTTCTTTGCTGGGCTTTGTGTTACACTCTTGCCCTCTTCGTAGTATTGTTCTGCAAGTAAGGGAAGTGCTGAATGACTCATTAATTTTTTTGATTCCCATTTCTCTCTTTAAAAAAATTTTAACACTGAAAAGACTTCTCAGAACTTGTGCCTCCCTTACCAGTCAATCTTTCTATATAGAAGTCTTTGGCTAGACTGTATTTTCTCAATTTCTTAGCCACCATTTATTATCTCTTCCGCATTGAAGCATAATCTTTTAAAATGAGTTCAATTTCTTTCTACTGTGTTTTTGTAACTTCTATCATCTATGGAAATGCCCCAGTGGAAATAGGAGGTGCCCCTGAAGTCCAAGTCTGAAAGTGATTATGGCAAAGAAGAACATTAACCGACTGTACAAAAGTACCTGTAAGTTTTGTTCCAGAGATTATTATATCAGATAAAATGGAAAATAACCAGAACTGTTGTTTTAAGAGAAGTATTTACTCTGTATTTCAAACAGAACTGTAAACATGCTAGAAAAGAAAACTTTTTTTCCTGTTAGAACCTGACATAAAAACACATGGTCTAACAAAATGTTAATGTCTTCCTCAGTAAAAATCTCATGATGCTGGATGTCCTGAATTACTGAAATAAGTACTGTATAGATCAGTCACCTGTACTCCAAACATTTGTTTTTTAATGCCTTCTTTATACAGTGGTCCAGCATAATTTTTGAACTAGCCCAGTTTTAACAGTCTTCAGGAATAAAACTGAAGTCTTGATGAACTACTAAATCACTGTTCTTTTAGGAGTGGTGGGATTCTGCTCAGATGATCCAACGTGTTTATGAGCTGCTATTATCTTCATGACCTTTCAATGCAAAAGAACAATCAATCTGACTCTCAGTTCCTGAACTTTCCAGTTAGTACACGGAGGTTAGATCTATGTGAAAATGATTGTTGGACACCAGCGTTGTCAGGATGAAACAGGCAAAGCATCAGGAAGTGCCAAAGATAAGTGGACAATAATTCCACATGGAACTCCCAACTACTAATTTGGAGCCTCTTGGAGAGAAGTGTCACCTCTTTCAAAATACAGGAAGAGCAAGCTAGTATTTAGTGAAGAAAAGTTTAGCAATGTTCGAGGCATTTCCTTTATTTGAAAAAAATAATAAATAAATCAGGAAATAATTTCCAATATACCGTGAAGTCATAGATAATAGCTGTGCCCTCTGGGTTTATGGATTTGTATGAATGAATTTAAAAAAACCTGCATGGCTTTGTACATATTGCTAAGCCTTATAAATGAAGAGAACGAGAAAGGACTATACTGGAGTAACAGGAAGATGTCGTCTGTTATGTGAGAAGCTAAGGTTTGCATCCCTGCTACAGAGACAAGTTCTGAACTCAAATATTCTGAATTAATAAGCACAGGCTAGGCTGGACTGGTGAGTGAGTAGTGGAAAACCAGGAAATCAGTTTACTAGCGTGCCAAGTGCAGGCTTGAATTGCCACCCCACACAGGCTTGATGGTTTTTTCCCTGGTTGAGGATATTTTAAGCAATGCTTATTATTCCCAGCTTGATTCTGCCACATGCATTTTCTCATACAATGCCCTGCAGTGGCACTTCTCATGGAGTAGAAAGTGAATGAGAAATATTGAGGTCTTTGGAGATTCACAGCACAGCCTTTGTGGACTTAGAAACACTTTCCTTAACTTGTGAAAGCATGAGTAGTTTACAGTGTGTGTGTGTGTGTGTGTGTGTGTGTGTATATATATATATATATAATATATATATCTACACACTGCAATATATATATTATA